GCAATTGTAACTCTCATCACTGCCCCCAGGTAAATTCCATGGCTTCTTTAGCCCTGGAACAAAGTTCTGGCTTTCAGACTTCCAGAGGCCACCATAATTAATGTCTTCTGTCTGCATTTTTCCCCCTTGTATCTAAATTTGAGGGCTACTTCTAGTATGTCCTTCTCCTTGCTTAGATTCAACTCACATTCACTGGCACGGTGTTAGGGGTTTTCACCTACATGGTCTCATGAAATTCTTCCAGCTAGCCCATAAGATTGGTTTCTTCTCTCAATTTCAGTGATGAGGCACCTGAGTTTTCAAGTGGTTAGGTCATTTGTCCCAGGTCACCAGTCAGCAAGTGGTACCCAAAGTGCTAGCCATGTGCTGACATGTATGGACAGGATGTATGGACCCATCCAGGGTCAGAAGCTTTCCAAACCCACTCAAAGCACCAATTGTCTTGTTTATGTTTTTCTTACAACTACCCCACAGCCTCAACCACACCTTTAAAGTTACTCAGTTATCCATACAGCTGGGTTTACCAGTCCGGATCTCCTTTTTAAGGGCTGACCTTCCCCAATGTCCCTCCTGAACCTCTGGGACAAGGAGTTTCACGGCAGACTATAAAGGCCCTGGGAGGCTCTGTGAAGAGTCTATTCTCTCTGCCTCAAACATTCCTCCCTCTATACCAGCTATCCCTACTCTAGTAGATGGAAGTAGCTATAGATTTTATTTACTTAATAGGTTTTCTCATCCCCAATTTTCTGGTAGCAGTATTTGTTCTTCCTTTTTTTTTTTTTTTTTTTTTTCCTTTGGGGAACTTCGTCCCCTAGTCGTAATCCTCAACTGTCCATCTGGTTCTCCTCCATCCCCTGGCAACCAAGGAGAGATGTGTGACTGAAATTTGGCCCATCAGAGGACCTGATCCCTCTGACCACCGTGATTGGTTCAAGGATGAGTGTGTGACCTGGTCCAATGATTACAAGTTTTTCTTCTTTAAGCAATGATGCAATGAATCAATCCCAGTGTATTGGGACTGACATCTTCTTTCATTTGTCCAATTATTCCCATGGGATAAGTGCCCGGCTTGAAATTGCCACGTCATATATATGTGCATTTTCAATGTTGGCATGTTTTGTGAGGTTGCCCTCCAGAAAAGCTGTCCCAAATTTATACCATCCCAGCAACATGTGAGAGTTGGTTCTGCACATCCCAGGAACACCTGGTGTTGTCAATCTTTAAATATTTGCTGGTCTGAAAAGTAAAGACAGCTGTTGAAATCTATTCCCAGTTTTGGTTCTCTTTTTGGGTCATGCTCCCACATGCCTGTCCTAAAGTTACCTACCCCTGGCCTTGCTTCTAAACCTCTTGCCTGGTGCTTCATCCAACTTTATTGGTCTTCTTGTATCCTGTCCTCACTGTACTAGACTGGAAAAAGGGTTTTTACCTTATACATCTCCCTTTTTCCCCTAGCTTCTTGCAGCTGCTAAGAACAGTTTGGAACCCAATAATTATGTTTTGAATGAATGAATGAATGAGTGAGTGAATGAAAACCCTTCTATGGCCCTCCCATTTCCTGTTCAGTTCTGAGTGGTGCCATGTAGTTGGGTGAGTGTTAACCTGAATAAAGAAATGCCCAAGAACATCAGATTTCGGGAATCCACCCACAAACGCACACACTGAGTTCCATCCCTGAACTGTAATGACTTATTTTCCTGTGAGCGCTTATGTCCAGTCAGATCCCTTCATCTCTAAGCAACATATTTGTTCAAGGAGATGTCATACTCTCCCTGGAGCATTTCTGCCATCCCAATCAATCCACCAACACTGCAGGATCAAGTTCAATTTTCCATTCCTGTGACCCTGAGTTGGGACTGCACGTGGAATCTGGAAAAATAATTAACATTTGTTGAGTGCTCACTATTTGCCAGACTTTGTGCTAGGCATTTTAAATACTTCATTAGTTGCATTCTTCATGGTCCCTTTGATGTCACAGGCTCTTCTACAGGGAATTTCCACCCTGGCTATTCCCAAAGGAGACGTAGGGTTCAGGAACTAGTTGGCTGCTGTGCCTTATACCTCGACTTTTATTTATCAGTCAAATATTGCCTTTAAAATTTAAGTCTTCCACATTTCTTATGGGGTCTATCCTTGGCTGTTTCATCTTTCTGTGTGGAATAAATGGGGTTCTTTTTCTGTGATGCTGGGAAGTTGGCTGTTGTTTGTTTACAAGAACATGAGTTTTGTGTATTGATTTTGTATTTGGCCATTTTTCCAAACTTTCTCACATTTTTTATTTTTAAAATTTTTAACTTTCATTTTTAAAATTTTGGTTAGCTTTAAATTTTCTACGTAGACAATATCTTTAAGTAGTAAGTCTTGTAACAGACAAGATGATGATATTTTAACAATTTTTAGAGAGAAAATTCACATACTATACAACTTACCCATTTAAAGGCTACAATTCAATTTTTCTTAGCATATTCACAGAATTATGCAACCATCATCATGATTAATTTTAAAACAATAAAAGGAAATTTTAAAATTCTTTTTTTTTTCTTCCTGATTGAATTGATTAGGATCACCAGTAGACTGATTAATAGTAATGGTGATGATGGACAACTTTGTCTTGTTCCTGATGTTTCTGGAATGTCTGATTTTTCACCACTGAATAAGATGTTTACTAACAGTTTTTTGATAGTTAGACTTGATCAAGGTAAGAAAGTTTCCTTCCACTTCTAGCTTCAAGAATTTTATCTTCTTATTTAGAAATAGACACACATTTTATCCAATCCATTTATCAAGGCATTTATTGTGATGGGAATAATCTTTTCTTCCTTTAAATCTATTACTGTAGTACATTAACAGATTCTCTGCTTAAAACCATCTCTGCAGGGACACCTAAGTTGGTTGAGCATTCCAACTCTTGATTTCGGCTCAGTTCATGATCCCGGGGTTGTGAGATCGAGCCCTGCTTCAGGTTCCATGTTGAGAGGGGAACCTGCCTGAGATTCTCTCTCTCTCTCTCTCTCTCTCTCTCTCTCCTCTGCCCCTCTCCCCAGCTTACACAGGCGCATTCTCTCTCTCTCTAAAAGGAAAAAAGAAAAACAAAACAAAACAAAAAACCATCTCTGTCGTCTCTATGCATAATCCTTTAAAAACACCATTGGATTCAATTTGCTGATAGTCTATTTAGAATGTTGGGCCTTTAACTTTTTAGTGTAATTATCTCATAGTTTTCCTTCCTTCTTTTTTGGTTTCTTTCTTTTTTTTTTACTGTGTTGTGATGAACCAGGGTCATGCTTTTCTCAAATTGTTTCCAAGTACTGAGGAAAGTACAAAGCCCCGCGATTTGTGCTCAGTGTGGGACTCCTCTAATAGGCCGTCACTGTTCTGGAACTTCTCACTGGGCTGGCAAAGATTTGAGCAGATCTGCATCCTGGTCTGACAGCTTCCTCTGCCCAACCTGGATGCCACCCTTTGTTTCTCTTTCACAAGTGTTTTCACCCAAAAACCTGTGCGCTCCTAATTCTAGTTGGCTTCCCAGAGCCCCCATTTGACACAGGTGTTATCTTTCCAGCTCGGCCTCTAGAGCTGGGGTGCCTGGGTGGCTCAGTCGGTCAACTGTCCAACTTTGGCTCAGGTCATGATCTTGTGGTTGGGGGTTCGAGCCCCGCGTTGGGCTCTGTGCTGACAGCTGAGAGCCTGGAGCCTGCTTCAGATTCTGTGTCTCCCTCTCTCTCTGCCCCTCCCCTGCTTGCGCTCTGTCTCTCTCTGTCCCTCTCTCAAAAATAAGTAACAGACATTAAAAAAAATTAAACTTGTAGACTTAGGTTTCCTACACTCTGGAAGGATTTATGTACCATGTCCACAATCAGATCCTTGAAAGTCAGATGTAATTCACCAACAAAAACCATCTGAGCCTGGTTTTGGTTTTTTGTTAAAGGGAAAGAACTTTGACAACAGTTTGAATTTCTTCCGTGTTTATTGGCCCATTCAGGTTTTCTGTCTCCTTTTAGACAAATTTTGGTAATTTGCATCTTCCTAGAAAATTCTGCATTTTAACCTAGATTAAAAAAATTTTTCTATTAACATTAATTTCTTTTTAGTAATTTTTTGAATGCTTTAAAATCTCAATAGGTGTGTTTCCTGCTTCATTTTTTTTTCATGTTTATTTATTTATTTTGAGAAAGAGAGAGAAAGAGAGACTGTGAGCCTGTGTGAGCGGGGGAGGGGCAGAGAGAGAGAGAGGGAGAGAGAGAATTCCAAGCAGGCTTCACACTCAGCACTGAGCCTGACATGGGGCTCGATCTCACAACTGTGAGATCATGACCTGAGCCGAAATCAAAGAGTCAGACACTCAATCCACTGAGCCACCCAGGCACCCTTCCTTTTTCATTTCAAATGTTAATTATTCTTTAAATTTTTATTCATATATCTTATTTATAACATGTAATTAGGTTTATCTATAGTAATGGTCCTTTCAAAGATCAAGATGGTGTTTTATTAATCAAGGTTATTTTTGTATGTGAGTATTCCACCTCATTAAATTCTGCTAACTTTTATACTCCATCCATTTAATATCTTTGGATTTATTTTGTTGATCTTTCATTCTAGCTTCTTGATTTTAATGTTTCCTTCATTTATTCTGAATTCTTCTTGTTTCTAATAAATTTCCCCTGACTCCACTTGGATCAGGTCCCAATAGTCCATGAAAACAAAGTCCCAGGACGCCTGGGCGGCTCAGTCAGTTAAGTGTCTGACTTCCGCTCAGGTCATGATCTCGCGGCTCCTGAGTTTGAGCCCCACGTCGGGCTATGTGCTAACAGCTCAGAGCCTGGAGCCTGCTTCAGATTCTGTATCTCCCCGTCTCTCTCTACGCCTTCTCTGCTCATGCTCTGTCTCTGGCTCAAAAATAAACAAACATTTTTAAAAAATTTTTTTAATTAAAAAATTAAAAAAATAAAACAAAGTCTCATTTTGGCTTATTTCAACTTTATAATTTCCTTTTTAACACAGGAGTTACTTTAAAAGAGGCTTTAAATTTTCCAGTGAGAAGATTTTTATTTTGCTACTTCTTGTGTTTTGTTTTGCATCTTAATTTCTAACTTTATTGCAGAGTGACAAAATAATCAGATTTGTGTGCTTTTTGGAATTTACTGGGATTCCCTTTGTGGTCAGATACATGACTAATTTGTAAAAGGGCCATGGGTGCCTGGAAGAAATGAGTCCTCACTCCACCGGGGACAATGTGTTATTTATACATATTAGGTACATTTCAGAACTCTATTGTGCCTTGCACTGAAGCAAACGACTGTATATCTTTTTAGTGGACTGTAGCTTTTATCAGTATGAACTAATCCATGTTTACTGTAATGCTTTCTATTTTATTTTTTTTTAATTTTGGTAAAATGCACATAACATAAAGTTTGCCACTTTAACCATTTTTAAGTGTACAGTTCTATGGCCTTAAGTACATCACACTGTGGTGCAACCATCACTGCCTTCCGCCCACAGAGCTCTTCTCTGTAAAACTGAAACTCTACACGTTAAGTAACAACTCGCCATTCCTCTTTCCTCCCTGCCCGCCCCAGCAATTGCCCCTCAACTTTCTGTCTCTGTGAACCCGATTATTCTACGATCCTCATGTAAGTGGAATCATACAATATTCATCCTTTTGTGACTGGTTTATTTCACCCACATAATGTCCTCAAGTTTCATCTGTGTTGTTGCAGGTGACAGAATTTCCTTCTTTTCAAGGCTTAATCACGTTCCGCTGTGTGTATAGACTACCTTGTGTTGTTTATCTTATCATCTGCTGATAGGCATTTGAGCTGCTTTCCTTGGAGCTATTTCCTATTGCCGTGAATAATGTTGCTATGAACATGGGTGTACAAATATCTCCTTGAGTCCCTGCTTTCAATTCTTTGGGGTGTGTACCTAGAGGTGGAATTGCCAGATCATATGGTAATTCTGTTTTTAGTTCTTTGAGAAAGCATCATCCTATTTTCCATAGTGGCTACACCATTTTCCATTCCCACTAACAGTGCACAGGAGCTCCAATTTCTCCCCATCCTTGCTGACACTTGCTGGTTTCTATTTTGTGTGTTTTGTTTATAGTTGCCATCCTAATGGGTGTGATGTTTTTTAAATTATTGTTTTGGATTTTATAGCTATTATGTAACATATGATACCTATTTAGGAGGTGTCTATTTCCCTCTACCTTTGTTTTCAAACTTTCTGCACAATTTTCTTTAGATATACTTTTTGGAAATAAGATATAACATAATTTTTTTCTTTTTATTAACTTAAACTGAAAATATAGGTCTTGTAATGGCCTAATTTAACCTATTCGTGGGTACTCTGATTACTTATAAAACCAGACTTATCCTTGTCCTGCTGTTTTTATGTTCTCTATCATACTTTCTTCTCTTTTTCGTTTCCATCTTTTCTTCAGTTGATCAGTTTTTCTGTATTCTATTGTTTTTCCTTATTTGTATTTGTATTTTTAAATAATTTTTTATTATTCATTTTGAGAGAGAGAGAGAGAGAGGAGGGGAGGGGCAGATAGAGAAGGAGAGAGAGAGGGAATCCCCAGCAGGTTCTGCACCATCAGCATGGAGACCAAAATGGGACTCGAACCCACAAACCATGAGATCATGACCTGAGCTGAAACCACGAATGGGACGTTTAACTGACTGAACCACCCAGGCGCCCCTCCATTGTTTTTTGTATTGTGGGTTAGAAATTATACATTTTATTTCTACTTTTTTGGTGGTTACCATTAAATTTTTAAGACATACTTAAACATAATTTTCTAAAGTATTTTGAATAAATTCAGATCAGAAGTTTGCAAACTGTGGCCTGTGTGCCAAATCCAACCCACCATCCACCTTTGTACCTCCTGCAGGCTAAGAATAATTTTTATGTTTTTAAGTAGCTGAAAAAAAAATCAAAAGAAGAAAAATATTTTGTGACACATGGAACTTCTATAATTCAAATTTCAGCATCCCTAAGTGAAGTTTTATTGGAACACAGCCACATTTTTTTGCTTACATATTGTCTATAGCTACAATGGCAAAGCCCAAAATATTTGCAATTGGCCCTTTATTGAATACATTTGCTGATCTGTGGTGTAGATATATGTCTTCCCCCCAAAAAAGATAAGGATTAATACAGAGATTAGTGCTTCCTTCAAGTCTCCAAATCTTACTCCATGCCACCCCTATGTTGCATTTGGGATTTCAGTTCTAGAAACTGGAAAAACCCAAATGTCCATCAGTAGGTGAGTGGATAAGCAGATTGTGGTATACCAATACAATGGAATGCTACTCAGCAATAAAAGAAAAAAAGAATGAACGACTGAAACATACACATCTGAAAGTGTGTGATGCTAAGTGTAAGAAACTAAATGCAAAGGCTACATACTGTATGATAATATTTATGTGACATTCTAGAGAAGGCAAAACTATAATGATAGAAAGCAGATCTGTGCTTTCCAGGGGCCAAAAGTAGGGGAATGGTGATTGGTTCCAAAGAAGCATAAAGAACATTTTGGGGTGATAGAAATATGTTTTATCATGATTGTGGTGGTGGTTACACAACTGTATACATTTGTCAAAATTCACCCAATTGTATACTTTAAATTGGTGAGTTTTATTGCCTATAAAATATACCTCAAAAGAGCTAATATAAAAAGCCTGTTCTGCACTTATTACCAGGGAAATACAAATCAAAACCACAAGGAGATACCTACCACTTCACATCTGTCAGAGTGGCTAAAATGAACAACTCAGGAAACAACAGATGTTGGCGAGGATATGGAGAAACAAGAACCCTCTTGCACTGCTGGCGGGAATGCAAACGGGTGCAGCCACTCTGGAAAATAGTGTGGAGGTTCCTAAAAAAATTAAAAATAGAATTACCCTATGACCCAGCAATAGCACTATGAGGAATGTATCCAAAGGATATAGGAATGCTGATTCATAGGGCACATGTACCCCAAAATTTATAGCAGCTCTATCAACAATAGCCAAATTATGGAAAGAGCCCAAATGTCCATCAACTGATGAATGGATAAAGAAGATGTAGTAATGTATATATAATGGAATACTACTCAGCGATGAAAAAGAATGAAATCTTGCCATTTACAACAATGTGGATGGAACTGGAGGGTATTATGCTAAGTGAGATAAGTCAGTCAGAGAAAGACAGATATCATATGTTTTCACACATATGTGGAATTTGAGAAACTTAACAGAAGACCATGCGGGAAGAGAAGGGGAAATAAGTTACAACCAGAAAGGGAGGCAAACCATAACAGACTCTTAAATACACAGAACAAATTGAGGGTTGATGGGGGTTGAGGGTTGGGAGGGACAGGGAAAATGGGAGATAGGCATCAGGAGGGCACTTGTTGAGATGAGCACTGGGTGTTGTGTGTAAGGGATGAATCATGCGAATCTACTCCCGAAGCCAAGACTACACTGTATACACTGTATGTTAGCTAACTTGACAATAAATTATTTTAATTAATTAATTAATTAATTAATTAACTTTATTTTTAAAAATTGGAAAAATAAATAAATAAAAAATAAAAAAACTGTTCTGGGCAAAACTACCCTTTGATGGGGGAAAAAAACCTAATCTATGATGAGAAGGAGCATGTGGGAACTTTTTGAGGTGAGAGTAATGTTCTGTATCTTGATGGGGAGGGTTACATTACACAATTTAATGCATTTGCCAAAAATCAGTTATCGTATGCTTGAGATTTATGCATTTCATTATATGTAAATTCTACATCAAAGTAAATGTATTAAATATTGAACTGTAGTTAACAATATGCATGCTTGAACATTTAAGGGGAAGTATACAGATGTCTGTAAACTTACTTTCTTTTTTTTTTATTTAAAAAAAATTTTTTTTTTCAACGTTTATTTATTTTTGGGACAGAGAGAGACAGAGCATGAACGGGGGAGGGTCAGAGAGAGGGAGACACAGAATCGGAAACAGGCTCCAGGATCTGAGCCATCAGCCCAGAGCCCGACGCGGGGCTCGAACTCACGGACCGCGAGATCGTGACCTGGCTGAAGTCGGACGCTTAACCGACTGCGCCACCCAGGCGCCCCTGTAAACTTACTTTCAAATGTATAAAAAATAAGATGGATAAATGAATGGCTATATGGATAGACACATAGTAAAGTATAATAAAGTATTAATGGTAGAATATAGATGGTGAGTGTTCTTGATAAAATATATGTACCTGTTCTGCCTTTTAAGACATTTGTGTTGCATGTACAAGACATCTGGACCCAGTCTTAAATTATCTCGTGTATAAAGAAATAGTTTTAAAATATTTTCATCTAGAGCACTAACTGTGCTCATCTTTCCTTCTTCAAAAGCCAGGGAAAAGACATGGTGGGACTTGTGTACCTGCCTAGTTTGAGCCAGCAGCTTACCTGGTCCTTCCTATTTTTGAGGCCCTGCCGTCCCTGTTGATATTCTGTAGGGTCTCTTCCTTTCTACGCCTGAGAGGATTATGGGAGTCTAAGTAGTCTCCTGGGATCTGGTTTATTGCTGGAACCCTGGCAGTGTGAGAAACTTCTGGAAGTTTACTGGGTGCCAAAGCCCTAATAGAAAAGTAGTAGAGTTCTGGTATGTTAGCCCTGGAAGGGCCTTAGTCACCACTTCACAGTTATCTTTTCACTCATATGAGAAACTTAACAGAAGACCATGGAGGAAAGGAAGGGGAAAAAAATAGTTACAAACAGAGAGGGAGGGAGGCAAACCACAAGGGACTCTTAAATACAGAGAACAAACTGAGGGTTGATGGGGATTTGGGGAAGAGGGTAAAATGGGTGATGGGCACTGAGGAGGGCACTTGTTGGGATGAGCACTGGGTGTTGTATGTAAGCGACGAATCACGGGAATCTACCCCCAAAACCAAGAGCACATTTTACACACTGTATGTTACCCAATTTGACAATGAATTATATTAAAAGAAAGAAAGAAAGAAAGGAAGAAAGAGAGAGAGAGAGAAAAGAAAAGAAAAGAAAAAAAGAAAAGAAAAGAAAGAAAAGAAAAGAAAAAAGAAAAGAAAAGAAAAGAAAAGAAAAGAAAAGAAAAGAAAAGAAAAGAAAAGAAAAGAAAAGAAAAGAAAAGAAAAGAAAACAAGTGCAGAGAGGGGAACTGACTTGCTTAAGCCCACACAGGGCTGTGGTAGCAGATACCCCAAGCCTCCTTGCTCCCAGCCGTATTGGGGCCCAGCCAATCTGATGGTTTCCTGAGAGGCACTGATGGGAGGAGGCCCATGATTTATGAGGTGGTAGCAGCCTTGCTGTGAGGAGGCCTGGGTTCAACCCCGGCTCTGCGAGCTTGGGCAGGTTACTTCATCTCTTAGCTCGACTTTCCTCATGGGTACCATAAGAATAATAGTATCTTCCTTCTGGAGTGTTGGAGGTTTAAATGGAACATTGTCTTTAGAGCAGTTAGCACAATGCCTGGACCCAGTAAGCGCTCATTCCACTGGAAGCAGTGTTATTACTGTTACTAGTAAGTGCGCCGTTATGTGAGTCTGTGAAACCAGATTTTGACTCCAGTGCTACACTTACTAGCTGTGACTGTAATCCTCACAACAATCCCCAAGGGAGTGGTCTTTTCCATATTTTACAAATAAGGAAATTGACATGCATGTCCAACCTCAGGTCTTCGGATCTGGATCAAACACAAATATTGTTTTCTAATAATCCTCTTGGCAGATATGTTCTCAGCAAAATGACCATTCAGCCATTCATCTGTCATTTTCTCAAACTCCTTCAGCTTAAGATGTTCAGGGTGCCAGGGGGCCATGTTCAGGGTAGCATGTCCTGAACCCCATCATATGCATCATCTGGGAGCTTGTCAGAAATGATAATTTTGCCCCCACCCCTACCCAGAGCTACTGAAACAGTGTCTGGAGGTGGGGACCTAGGATCTGTTCCAGCAAGCTCTAGGAAGTAGAGAAGTCCTATTCTAAGGAACCAATAAGATGAGGATTAGTGGAGAGAGTGAACGATCAGGTTCAGGGGGGCGCATCTACAGCATGGAATGTTCGACCTACGAAGAGTAAACCTCCTACTAGCAATTCTGCTTTGTCTTTTTTTTTTTTTTTCAACGTTTATTTATTTTTGGGACAGAGAGAGACAGAGCATGAACGGGCGAGGGGCAGAGAGAGAGGGAGACACAGAATCGGAAACAGGCTCCAGGCTCTGAGCCATCAGCCCAGAGCCCGACACGGGGCTCGAACTCACGGACCGCGAGATCGTGACCTGGCTGAAGTCGGACGCTTAACCGACTGCGCCACCCAGGCGCCCCTCTGCTTTGTCTTTTTTGTGCTAACATTATGCTTGTCTCTTTCCTAGCCTTGAGCTGCATTGCAAAGGTCTCCATAGTTCCCAGGCCCCAGGAAATGGAGCACAAAGGCAGAAGAACATTTACCTCTCCACGCTGTCACTGACTGATGTCTCATCTAGGACCTCCTCAAAGGTGCTTGCAGAGTCTCGCCCTGGGAGTTTTTCCTTTTCATTTCACTGGAGCTCATAAGGATTGAGTCATTTATGAGGATTCTGTCATACACTCAAAAGCCAGGGGGATGGTTTGTGAGGGTTTATCTCCAACCATAGCCGTGAGCCACCATGGCTGAGACTGTGCTTGGAGGAACCAAATAAAGCTCTCTGACCCCACAGGAAGCTGCAAAATCAACCACCATTTCCTCAACAACAACCACCTCCATATGCTGTGGTCTAAACACTCATCATGTATTATCAAAATGTACACCGGTAGAAGTCTCAAAGCCAAGTCTAGTCCAGACAATGGCTTGCTGGAGGGAGGTGGGCTTAGGGGTGGGAAAGAGGCTTGGAGAGGCTTCTGACAACACATACTCCTGGCCAGACCCAGCTCCCCTCACTGCCCTCATCTCTGTTTTATTTACACCTTGTTATTACATCTCCTGCTTCTTATCATTCCTAGTTCAGATGGCCTCCAACCTCCACAACCGGAGGCAGAAACTACCTGCAGTCCTAAATGCAGCTGAAAAATCGCTTTTGGAGCTTGTGCATCCGGCAGTGAATATCTCACCTCTTAACCAGACTTGAGCCCTGGCAGGGAAAACCCCTCCCAACCTGGCCCCTTGCCCAGCAGGGTCCAGTGCCAGGGTGTGGTTGGCACTAGATTAAGTTATGTAATAGATCAGCAATAGAGTTGCACTTCATAATTGCCAAGGAGTTTCTGAACACACAGGTTGCAGGAGAAAAGAAGCAAGGTAGGGTTCTGTAGCTGAGCAGAGACAGAGCATGGGCTGGATATGGGGGCTGATGTTTCTCTGAGGACCAGATGCCCAAAGTCCTAAGGGCCGGAGGAATCTTTGCTGGGGGTCAGCAACAACAGCCACCAGCACATTCATTCCACCAGTGATGACTGGCACTGTTCCAGATGCTGGGGCTATAAAGATGAGCACCAGAGATGGTGGAATACAAGGTGCAGGGAGGGGGGCAGGAAAATTATCCTTCATAAAAGATTAATTCCAAGTATTCTTATACTGGAATTCTTAGCCTTCTCATTTGCATGCTTGTTTCCTTCTTTCCTCCCCATCCCTTCCTTTGTCCCTCCCTCCCACCCTTTCTTTCTTTCTTTCTTTCTTTCTTTCTTTCTTTCTTTCTTTCTTTCTTTCTTTTCTTTCTTTCTTTCTTTCTTTCTCTTTCTTTCTTCTTTCTTTCTCCTTCTTTTCTTCCTTCCTTCCTTTCCTTCCTTCCACCCTCCCTCCCTTCTTCTTCTTTCCTTCCTTCCTTCCTTCCTTCCTTCCTTCCTTCCTTCCTCTTCTTAAGTAATGGCAGCTGTCTGGGGAAGATGCCTTAGCCTGAATTGACATCAATCAGTGCTAACTTGTATGTTTATAAAGGTCACCTGATGACACTGATGGAAAAAATAGGCAAAGAAATTTAAACACAGAGTTAGCAAATCTCCCTAGGGATATGACCTCACAACGAAAAGAATTGCATGTTTTTGTAAACAAGGACTTTAAAGGTCAGTTTAAAACACAAGCTCTGGAGATGACAAATATATACCTACTGGAGGAGAAAGACTGGCCCAGTATTTTGTGGATGGGTAATTGTGGTTTGGGGTAAAATTTCCAAGGTCAGCATCACATGTGGGTTCAGAAAGTATTGTATCTTGAACCTCTTAGGTGAAGTGACAATGACATGGGAAGCTAAATTAGAGGGGTTACTTCCCCTGCAGCCTCTGAAGCGAGGCTGCCTTCTTCCTAGCTCATACTCAGGCCCTGGGGAGGGTCAGGATCGCATTTGCTCTGCATTGCTGCTTCCAAACCATTCTCCCTCCTTCCCTCCTAAAACACCAGTCGGCTGGCTTACTCTCCCTTGGAATCTCCTCAAACTATCCATGGATGCCCTCCTTGTTGCACCTGCTGACCATTGGGCACTTCCTTTTGTTCCTTTTAAGGACTTTGATTCACGCTCATGCTCTCCAGCACTGTTTTATCTCCAGCTTTATCTCACGGTGATTTCAATATCCACATAGAAGATCCTCCCCAAGTCCCAGTGTCAGTCCACTTGGATTGCTATAACAGATTACCAGAAACTGGGCAGTTTATAAACAACAGAAATTTATTTCTCACAGTTCTAGAGGCTGGGAGGTCCAAGATCAAGGCAGACTGGGTGTCTAGTAATGACCTACTTCCTGGTTCATACACTGCTTTCTTCTCACCGTGTCCTTGCATGGCAGAGAGGGCAAGAGTCTCTCTGGAGTTTCTTTCATAAGGGCACTGATCCCATTCATGGGTGCCTCACTGTCATCTGATTGCCTCCCAAAGGCCCCACTTCCAAACACCATCACATCAGGGAGTAGGATTCAACATACGGATTTGGAGGGGACACAAACATGTAGTGTGTAGCACCCAGCCTCCAATTCTACGACCTACACATGGAAACCAGTGACCTTGTCACCTCCACCTCAACCACTCACTTCCACAGACATACCCTAGAACCCATTACTACCACTGACTAGAGAGCCCTCCAGTGTCTCAGTTTCTAGTAACCCATGCTGCAGCCACTATGCCCTGTTTCTCCAGCTCACTCCTTCTCTTACACAGACTCCAATAATTCGTCTTCCAATTGAGATATGCAATCTCTGCTCCAACCATGTTTTCACTAATAATTAGCCCCTTAAGTGCCTCATTTCCATCCTTTCCCAGCTTATATTTCACAGTTTACACTGTTATAGTTTACAGTTGCATACACCCCAACTCCCTCCATTGCATTTGCTGAGAGAACTTCATCCATGGCTCACCTGTAAGGCCTAACCAATAACAGGATGGAGAAGCAAACAACAAATGTCTCTTCCTTTATCTCTCATCCAGCTTCTGACCTCACTCCACTTCTCTGCTGCCCCTTAGAACTCGTTAAAAGCTGTCCAGCTACTGTCATAATTCCTTTCTTCCCTTTCTCACTGCAACTCCCTCCCATTGACTTCTGTGACCTCTCTCCACTGAAATAGCTTGTGTCAAGACTCCTGAGGTCCTCTGGTTGCTAAATCTAATGGGCAAGTCTCAAACATCATCTTACTAAACTCATCAGTAGCATCTTTGATGGAGCAGAACACTCTGTCTTCCTGACACATTCCTGGTTTGGATATGCACTCCCCTTGGATCTCCTCCTACCTCACTGGCCTCCCTTCTCACATCCCTCTGACATTGATCATTGGGAGTTTCCCAAGGTTCAGGCTTTGCACCTTTCTTCTATCACTCTTTACTGACCTCACCCAGTTGCTAGGACTGAATGACTCCCAAAGTTAGATCTTCAGCCCAGATCTTGAACCTGAACTCCAAATTTCTATTTTTAACTTACAATATGACCTTTCTACTTGGATGTCTAACGGGCATCCTAAACTTAACTTCTATCCCTTTGTTGTGTTCCTCCTGATCGTCATCTCAGAAAAGGACAACTTCTTCAACTGTTCAGGCAAAATAACCTGGGTGTCATCTTTGATTCCTTCCTTCCTCTAATGTCCTGTATACAATCAATTGATAGATCATGTTGGCTTACATTCAAAATATATCCAGGGTGGCTCAGTTGGTTGAGCGACCAACTTCAACTCAGGTCATGATCTCATGGTTCGTGGGTTCATGCCCCATGTCAGCCACTGTGCTGACAGCTTGGAGCCTGGAGCCTGCCTCGGATTCTGTGTCTTCCCCTCTCTCTCTCTGCCCCTCCTCTGCTTGTGTGTGCGCTCCTCTCTCTCTCTCTCTCTCTCTCTCTCTCTCTCTCTCTCTCTCAATCTCAAAAATAAATTAATAAAACACTTTTTAAAGAAGTAAAAACAAAAACAAAAAACCCAAAATACATCCAGAACCCTGTGGTTCTTACCACTGCTGCTAATATGGACCAAGCCACTATCATCTCTCACCTGGATTATTCCAGTAGCCCCCTAACTGGTCTCTCTGCCTCTGCCCTCATCCTTGATATCTGTTCTCCATAAAGCAACCTGAGCAAACTTTCTAAAATTAAAGTAAAATAGATTTCAACCAACTTGTCAACTCTAAATGATTGCTAACAGTTGCCTGAGGTGCCCTGTGGAGAACTCTTGGCTTATAGTAAAGAATGCCATGACTGTTTGGCAATGTGTGCCAAGGCCTAGGCAGAGGGAGCAGGATGTGAGGGCCACAGAGTCACATGGCCGGAGACAAGATTCCTCTCCCCAGTGGGCCTGCTTAGACTGGGTTCCCCAGAGACAAGGATCTGTGGGCAGGCACTTTATTCAAGAAGTGATCCCAGGAGTGGGGAGTGAGACAGAGAAAGGATAGAAAAGGGAAGGGAAGAAAGCCAAAGCAGAATATCTTGATAAGTAGGTCACCTCTAAGAGTACCTGAGGCTCAGGTGTGGCACCTCTGGGAGAAGGTGGAGAACACATCTCAGAGTAGTCCGACCTGAGGGGAGAATTTGTTCTCCCTTCAGCTTCCAGTACACCCAAGGATGAAGCCCTGAGGTGGAGGTCACACTGCAGGCAGATGCCCTTGGCCCTTGTGGACAGGGTGCTGACAGAGTCTGCCCCAGTGCCCCATTCTGGGATGACTAGCCCTGCTCTGACAATGGAGCTCAACCCCAACAGCTTGCTCCTCCAGAAAAGCAGGCCAGACCCAAAGTTAACTAGAGAGGCAGTGTGGCCCAGTGGGACAGATATAGGCTCTGGAGTCAGCCAAACGTGGGTCCAAATCCTGGCACAAGCTGTGACCTCAGATGAGTTACAGGACTTCTCAGCATTCTCATAATAACCTAGAAGTAACAGCTCCTGCCCATGGGGTGTTGTGAGGATCCCCTGAGGCTCCCCTCCCATATACTCCCCTGACACACAAGTCAGCATTTGCTACCCCCATTCCCAACTTGCCCCACAGCTGCCTCCACACACATAGAAAGCACAAACTGCCCAGAAGCTCGGCCCCTGTCTGGGCATAAGATTAGGTTCCAGATCTGTAACATCACAAGATGGCAGCCCACTGGGAGGGTAGGAAGGAGTTATTACAACTTTCTTTTATCCTCATTTTTAGTTATCCTTTTAAAAGTTCTGGTTTTGCTTTTGTTCTAGAACAGCCATAATAGAATTGTGTAAGTACATGATTTATGCGTAAATAAAGGTACAAATATTAGGGTGTGTGCTCAAAAATATCTCATGGGTATATAATCCGAATAGTTTGGAGATGACTACCATGGATCCTTCTTTCTTGTCCTGGATAACACACGTCTGGTCTCTGTCCTGCTCAGGCCTCTTCCCACAGCCTGCCCTGCCTTTAGTCTGACTCTTTCCTCCTAGAATTACATCTTGCAGTCAGTCCCTGGTCTCGTAAGGTTCATAAAGGAAAGTGTCTCTTGTTACTTGTATGATCACCACAAGAGGCCCAACCTAACCCCTTTCCTAGACCTCTCACCACACCACCACCACTGTCCCTCACAGCTGTTGTTTCCCTGGTCAGGAGCAATCAGTCTTCCTGTGGGCCGCAGACCATGATCAGTTTCTGTGTCAGTTGCCCTCAACTTGCCCACTTCCTGGGCCATCTCCCAGTGTTCCTGGTCCCCCACCCGTGCTCCATGCCTTTGCAGTCCCTGGGCAGACCCTAAGTTCCCACCTCAGCTCCTTTCCTCAAGGTGTGCCTCTCCCCAGCCCCACAGATCTAAATTCCATCCGATTCCCAGGCCCAATGCAGCAGGCATATGGAGCACTGGGCCACCATGTGACATCTTCCAGTGCCTCCTAGAAACTGTACCTGCCTGGTCCCAGTGACACTTCTCAGGTGCTGCTTCGGGTCAGGGTCGGCTACATAATTTGTGTGCTCACTACAAAACAAAAATACAAGGCCCCTTGTTCAAAAAAGAAGAAAAATTGGGGCCCTTGGGTGGTTCATCCAGTTAATCATCTGACTCTTGGTTTTGGCTCAGGTTATGATCTCATGGTTCGTGAATTTGAACCCCACATGAGGCCCTCAGCTCTCAGCGCAGAGCCCACTTCAGATACTCTGTCTCTCTCTCTCTCTGCCCCTCCCCAGCTCACGCAGTCTCTCTCTGTCAAAAATAAATAAAAATTTAAAAGGTAAAAAAAAAGAAAAGCTGCCATTAAATGTATGAAAATATAAAGCTTTTTCCTTTCTTCCGAAATCTCTCTCTTGACCTGTCATGGTATTGTTTTTTTGTTTCTATTTAGTGTTGTGCTCCCTCAGGCAAGGGGATGCGATGGCAGACCCTCAAAGGCACCAGGCCACCCTTTGCCCTCCACAACTCAGCGCTGACACATCATTGGCTGCTGGACTGGCATGGTGAGTCGGGCATCTCTGCCTCCTGAGGGGATTGCAAGCTGCACACTGGGATGCTCTAGGTACCTGGAGCAGGGCAGGGCAAGAGGTTTGTCTCTGCTGAATGGGCCACATTGCCAGCCCAGCACAGAGACAGCTGTCATCATGCCTTATCACGAGAGACAGCAGGGCCCACATGCCCAGACCCCTCCAGCCAGGGCAGGGAATGGCGGTGCCTGCTGGACATGGGCAGGGAGGGGAAACTGGGAGAGACTAGGACACTAGGAGTGAGGGGACGGGGCAGCTAAGGCCACATCCCAAAGAGATGGCAGAAGATAGGATAGTGCATGGACCGAGGCCCCTGGCTACCAGCACATGCTTCATTGTCTTATTGGCCTTTACTTACATAATACAGACTCGAAGATAAATTGATTAAAAACCTCATGCACCACCACGTTCATTACAGCATTATTTACAACAGCCAAAATATGGAAAGAAGCTAAGTATTCATCAATGGATGAAAGGATCAAGAACGTGTGGTGTATATATATACACAATAGAATATCATCCAGCTATAAAAAAGAAAGAATTCTTGCCATTTGTGACAACATGGATGGGTCTGGAGGCCATTATGCTAAGATAAATAAGTCAGAGAAAGACAAATACCATATGATCTCATTTATCTGTGGAATCGAAAAATAACAACAGGGGCACCTGGGTGACTCAGTCAGTTAAGCTCCCAACTGTTGATTTTGGTTCAGGTCATGATCTCATGTTTTGTGAATTCAAGCCCTGCCTCACGCTTCGTGCTGACAGGGCAGAGCCTGCTTGGGATTTTCTCTCTCACTCTCTCTCTGCCCCTCCCCAGCTCACACGTGCTCTCTCTTTCCAAAATAAATGAAAACATTAAAAAACAAAACAAAACAAAACAGGGACGCCTGGGTGGTGCAGTGGGTAAAGCGTCTGACTCTTGATCTCGGCCCGGATCATGATCTCACAGTTCGTGAGTTCGAGTCCCACATGGGGCTCTGCGCTGATGGTGCAGTCTGCTTGGGATTCTGTCTCTCCCTCTCTCTGCCCCTTTCCTGCTTGTGCTCTCTCTGTGTCTCTCAAAATAGATAAATAAACTTAATTTAAAAAATTAAATAACAAAAAACAAAACTAAATGAAAATAAACTTAAAAAAAAAAAAAAAAAAAATCAAGACAATGTACACAGAGCATGAAGCCCACAAGGCCAATGGGACTGCACTGATCTCATGCCCAAGGATACAGCCCTGTTGCTATACGAGATGTCTTGAGGTGACAGGTGGATGGGCCTTTAAAACATTTTAATAGTTTACTTTAATGTGTATTAGAAAAAAAATCATGACTATCACAATCTATAATTTCACAGCGATACCGTCTTAGTTTGAGCTGTTATAACAAAACATTGTAAACTGGATGGCTTATTAACAACATAAATTTATCTCTCACAGTTCTGGAGGCTAGAAGTCTGAGGTCAAGGTGCCGGCATGGCCAGACTGTGGTGAGAAACCACTTCCTGGGTGCAGACTGCCCACTTCTCATTGTACGCTCTTTTTTTTTTTTTAATGTTTATGTATTTTTGAGAGAGAGAGAGAGAGAGAGCATTAGCAGGGGAGGGGCAGAGAAAGGGAGACACAGAATCCGAAGCAGGCTCCAGGCTCTGCACTGTCAGCACAGAGCCCGATGCAGGGCTTCAACCCATGAACCCATGAGATCATGACCTGAGCCAAATTTGGACACTTAACTGACTGAGCCACCCAGGTGCCCCTCATGGTATGCTCTTGGGGTGAAAAGAGAGAAGAGAGCTCCCTGGGAATCCCTTTTATGGGAGCACTAATCCCATTCATGAGAGGTCCACTCTCATGACCTGATCACCTCCCAAAGGCCCCACCTCCTCATACCATCACTTGGGGGTCAGGTTTCAACCTAGGAATTTTGGAGGGACACACGCACTCAGTCCATAATAGATACATAGACTCTCTTAGAAACAAATTTATGGAAGGGAAAAAATCAGTTGCTCTAAAGAAAAAAAAATATTTTAAAATATTTATTTTTGAGAGAGAGAGAGAGAGAGAGCACATATGCACAAATGGGGGAGGGGCAGAGAGAGAGGAAGGCATAGAATCTGAAACAGGCTCCAGGCTCCGAGCTGTCAGCACAGAGCCCGATGCGGGGCTCAAATCCACGAACTGTGAGATCATGATCTGAGCCTAAACTGGACACTTAACCAACTGAGCCACCCAGGAGCCCCTAAAGAAAAATGTTAAGTGAACAATCGCACAAATGGTACTCAGATATGGCAAAAAAGAAGACATTCCTCAGAATTTGAGAAATACCACACCAGACTGTGAGTTCGTTACAGTCACCTATAGCTTGTCTACATATCCCGCTACTTGCTCCTTGGCCTCCCCTCACCCCCCTTTGAGGGGGGCAGCCAATGCTGACTGAATGAATAAGCAAATCGACCAAGGAAAACCTGGGACACCTGGAACCTGAGACTCTCTTTTGCAAATTTCATTTGTAGGACTTTTTCTGATTAATCGACTCATTCAGGATTCATTTCTACACATTTCAGAAGAAAACTGCTAAAGAAATCAATTCCTTTAAAATATACAGAGCTTATTTTGGGATAAACTGCCTGACCCTCTTTTTCAGGGCCTCTCCCTGACCACCAAGTTCAGAAACTCACCGGGTGATGCTCACAGCAGGATGCAAAGTGTCCTCCCATCCAGCGTGGCTCCCAGTTAGCCTGGAGGCTGTGTCCTGCAGGTGGTCTGAGATGACACTTTGTGACATGTATTTCCCCAATGGTTCACCTTGTAGGGAGATCATGACTCGAAGAGACTAGCTGATACTCTTGAAGGGTCCTGGACGAACAAGCGACCACAGGTTTTTCATCAAAAAGTAGCCAGCCCCTTAGAGAAATGGTTTCCAGTTTCATCTTTCCATCACATTTCACCTATTAAACAACAGAGCGACACAATTTTGAAAAGGTCAAAGACTGTAATGTTACCCATGACAAACATGTTGGAAGCAAGTTTCACTAAAATGGAGGAAAAGGAGAAACTCAGATTTGATGGTTATAGGCCAAAACCACCACCTGGAGTCTCACTGGTGTGTTTGTCAGGTGGCCTTTGTTTCTCAAATAACCATTCATATACATTTATACGGGTTGTTCACAATCAATATATTTTTTTAAGTTTTTAGTTATTTATTTTGAGAGAGAGAGAAGGAGGGGCAGAGAGAGAGGGAGAGAGACAGAATCCCAAGCAAGCTCCTTACTGCCGGCGCTGAGCCCAATGTAGGGCTCGAACCCACAAACCATGAGATCGTGACCTGAGCCGAAACCGAGATTCAGACGCCCCACCGGCTGAGCCACTCAGGTGACCCAGCTGTTGATATTTAATGAATGACAAAAAAGAAGGTTCATGGCATGATACTTTTCTAACTACTGGAACCTATCACCAGTGTTTTCTTTTGTTATTTATGAGCCACTTTATTTTGAAGTTTTGAGGTAAGTATTTTGAATGAGCTGACACACTTCAGGACTTACCCATCACGTAAATTGAGGATTTATATGAGGGTGTACATGCTCACTGAAAAAACTCAAGCATTACAGATATGGGTGACTTAGAAAGTGAGAGTTCCCCTACAGTTATGCTTTCTGTATATAATCAGTGTTTCTAGTCCTTGGTACACTCCTCCAGATTTTGTCTGTGCTTGTGTGTACACACACACCTCCCCCCCCCACACACACACCCACACACACAATGCAGGATGCTATTACTTTTTGTGCTGTCTAAAAGTTCCTCTTTCACTTGACTCTGCCTTAGACATCTTTTCACATCAGTTCATCAAGATCTGCCACCTGCAATCATAACTCATCAGACGTGTATTTACGGTCAGACTCAATAGAGCACCATGATTCCTAAGATCTGCTGAACTTGACTTTCTCCCCATCACCACAGGCCAGAAGGGATGACATTCACCAACTCTTGGGAAATGTCTGACTCTTTTCTGAGACCGTCCTGTGCTCACCACTCTCAACCCACAACTTGTCTTGCACAGCAGAGCCGTTGGGGATCCCCACCGTCCTAGCCAGGCCCACCCACTTGGCCCAGAAGGTGATTCCCCAGGGAGAAATAATTTATTATCAACTGAACACTAACCTCAGAGGAAAAGTCTGAGTTCTAGGGAAGAAATTCATTTACTGCAAAGTATGCAAAGAAAAACTGCATAATCAAAATGAATACATGTTTAATTAAATGCCTTCAAAGCGACCCATTATGTCAACTTCATTAATTGGTAAATTTAGTATTTATAATAATTTCATTACATTTGAAAAATGAATTGGAAGTAACATTTGCCCATTTGCAATAATTCTTGAGGAAAGCATGGAGACTGCTAAGAAATAACATGTGTTCCTCATATCCTTATTTTGAAAAGTGATATTATCAAAGGGGGGCCTGGCTGGCTCAGTCGATAGAGATGCAACTCTTGATCTTGGGGTTGTGAGTTTAAGCCCCATGCTGGGTATACAGATTACTTAAAAAAAAAAAAAGACCTGATTAAAAGCAAAATTGTTAAAACCATCTAAAAATATTTTGTAATAAAAATATATATGCACGAATATACGTGAGTATGTATCTATGTGTTTGCATATATACATAAATATATAACAGCCACTGAGGGCTGTGCTTAACGTTTCTGATGCTCTGTTAGGCCAGAGTCTTTAAGAGTAAGAAGGTCCAGCACTGCACAAGACCCCAAGTAGCTGTGCGCTCAGCCAGGACCCCCTTCTGTAAGCATGAGATAGGAGTCATGCTGAGCCAAAAGGAAGTTCTTCTTGGAGAATAATTTCTAAAATTAGTCCCTAGCATGAGGGCAGGATATTAGTGGTCTGGGAACTGGGAGAATCAGAGGCAGAATTTAGAGAGCTGACAAGGGGAAACCCACCGCCTAACAGGTGTCTTCAAGGCTCCCCTGGCTTTCTAGAAAAACATAAAGTTCTATCATTAGAGCCAATGCCTTTATTGGCCTAGATCCCCTACTGAAGTGCTTTTTCTCTTCCTTAAAACAAAGAGAATAACAAAAGTGTAACATATATGATAAAGAGCACACATCTTAAGAGTATGGCCTAGGGCGCCTGGTGGCTCAGTAGATTAAGCTTTTGACTCTTGATTTCAGCTCAGGTCATGATGTTGCAGTTTGTGGGTTTGAGCCCCACATTGGTCTCCAAGCTGACAGTGCAGAGCCTGTTTGGGATTCTCTCTCTACCCCCTGCCCCCGTCTCTGCCCCTCCCTTGTGCTCTCTCTCCCTCAAAATAAATAAATATTCTTTAAAAATATATTTTAAAAAAAGAGTATGGCCTAGTGATTTTTTACATATATAACCTCCAGGTTAGCACCATTCAGATCAGTGCATGGAATATTTCCATCACCCCCGAAGGCTCCCTCTGCTTCCTCCCAGGTAAAATCCTCCTCTGAGGCAACCACCATTCAGATTTTGGTCACCATACATTAGTTTTGCCTGTTTTTGAACTTCATATAAATGGAATCATACAGGATGTACTCTTTTGTGTCTAGTGTCTTTTTCAATATTGCATCTGTGAGATTTATCCCTGTTGCTAAGAGTAAAAATAGCTCTTTAGGGTGTTAGTAACGATGGATTTGCATATGGCCAGAGATGTCTATTATCGCTGGTCCCACAGTCCTTTTCTGTACCAGGCAATCACCATCTCTCACCTTCTTCCCTCACAACACACAGCTGTATAAATGGACAAATAAACGTCGCAATTTTTTACCAGTTGAATGTGATTCCCCACACCCCAGGTATAAAAGTTACATATGTGAACAAGAAGGAGAAGAAAGAAGAAGAGGGGAATGGGGAGGAGAAGGAGAAGGAGAAGAAGAAGGAGAGGAGGGGAAGGAGAAGGGGAAGGAGGAGAAAGAGAAGGAAAAGAAGGAGAAGGAGAAGGAGGAGGAAAAGGAGGAGAAGGAGAAGGAGAAGGAGGGGGAGGAGGAAGGGGAGGGGGAAAGGGGGAGAGGAAGGGACACAGGGAGGGGGGAGGGGAGAAGAAGAAGAAGAAGAAGAAGAAGAAGAAGAAGAAGAAGAAAAGGAGGAGGAGGAGGGGGAGGTGAAGGGGGAGACAGAGAGGGAGAAGGACAGAAGGAAGGAAGAAGGAAGGAAGGAAGGGAGGCATGGAGGAAGAAATTCTAGCTTTGAGAATGTTGCTTGACTCACCCAAACACAGCCAGTCCCTGGGCTGGTCAGTGGCCTTTGATCCGTGTAGCCTGGCTGAGAAAAATGATTTGGCTCAGACACGTTCTCCCTGTCAGTGTTAGAACTCAGAGGGAAGTTGCCTTTGGTAGAGACATTGGTCCCACTTGGACTATGGGTGGTGCCGCCGCGACTCTCCTCTGGGACTGCAGGGCCTACTCCCCAGCTCCACCCTTCTCATCCCACCTAAGGACAACTCCGAGGCCAGCACAGCTCCAGAGCTCCACGTGAGGTCGGCCGACTGACCGCCCAGTTGAGGCTGCGCCGCTGGCCAATTGCTCTCACTGTCCACTCCCCCTTGTCTCTTCACCGCCACACCCCACGGACATTCACCCCAAGGCACATCATAAACTTTCTGCTCACTAATCACCTCAGAGTCTGTGTCCTGGGGGACCAACCCGCCACAAGGTAGACAGAAGGGATGATGCGTGGAATCAGGCATGTCTGGAATGGGTCCTTCTCTCCTGCCCTGGCTGGATCCTGCGTCTTCACATCCACATTGCCGGATTTCTGTCCTCCTGGAGAATTGTTCACCTGGCACTCCGTGTCTCCAAAGGAAAAAAGGTAAGTTTTGCAAAAAGGAAAGGCCAGATCTAGTATCGCCTAGCTGAGCCTTAGTTTCTTCATCTGTAAAAATGGGCCTTTGCCAGGGCCACTCCAGCCCCTGTGTCTTTCTGCCAGCCTCCATTTCCCTCCACAGCCCCCACTTCCACCACCCCTTAGTGGGTCTTCTCCCCCACCCCCAGTCCAACCTCCACACTTCACCCAGAGCATTCCCCAGTGCCCTGGGGGTGATACAGCAGGGCACGGACTTCATATAGGGTTGATGTTTTACTGAGGAAAACAGGATCAACAACAGGTTTCACAATTAGCCATTTTGTGAGTGTGAGATCAGTGTTGCTGTTTGGAGCACTTTAGCAGGGTGGGCTTTCTGAAGCCCCATTTTTATGTTTTAAGTTCATTTATTTTTGAAAGAGAGAGAGTGTGAGCAAGGGAGGGGCAGAGAGAAAGAGGGAGAGAGAGAATCCCAAGTGGGTCCCATGCTGTCAATACACAGAGCCTGATGCAGGGCTCGATCTCGTGAACGTGAGATCACGACCTGAGCCGAAACCAAGAGTCGGACGCCTACCCGACTGAGCCACTACAGGTGCCCCTCTGAAGCCCCACTTTAATTAAATAGTGCTCCCTCTGCCCCAATAAAACCTCAAGAGGTCTACACCACTCGACTCTAGATCTGTAAGCCTCATCCAGGGTCCTGTCATCCATCAGAACCTCATCTCCTATTACATGGTACTAGGCCCCCAGCCCCACGACTCCCTAGACATTCCTACCTCTGTGCCTTTGCCCGTGCTGACCCTGCCTGCTGAGGCGTGGCTCATACAGCAGCTCTTCTACAAAGCCTTCCGAGAACCCCCAGGTCAGAAGCATTTTGTTGGTACATGGATGGTAACGTTTGCCATTAGTTTACTTGTGTTAAGGGTTAACTAGGTTAACTAGCCACAACGCTCATTAAAAAACAAAAACAGGGGCGCCTGGGTGGCGCAGTCGGTTAAGCGTCCGACTTCAGCCAGGTCACGATCTCGCGGTCCGTGAGTTCGAGCCCCGCGTCAGGCTCTGGGCTGATGGCTCAGAGCCTGGAGCCTGTTTCCGATTCTGTGTCTCCCTCTCTCTCTGCCCCTCCCCCGTTCATGCTCTGTCTCTCTCTGTCCCAAAAATAAATAAAAACGTTGAAAAAAAAAATTAAAAAAAAAAAAAAAAGAGTTGCATGTCCTCATGACTTGATAATTTATAAAGTGGCTCCCATTTTCCCAAACTTAGCACTAAAACACACCATTCCTACAGATGAGTCAGGGAAGGGGAGAGTTCATTTATTGGCTTAGGTTTGGGAAAATGCACAAAAGGGGTATGTCCCCTGCCTGTCCCCGTGCCTTAGATGAACAACTCCTGAAGAATGAAGGTCTAAGTGGGGACCTCATATGAGGTCCAGCCAGAAAAGCCTCAAGGCTCTATCCTTTCCTGGAGGGGAGGAGGAGGGCGAGTGGGCTTGCGAGGTCCCTGGAGACTGTCCCATAGCACAGTGCTAGTGGGTATTGGCAGGGCCAGAGGGGATGGCTCCCCCACCCCCTGTGGGGGAGGCTGGGACTCAAGGACTCCCACACACTGTCTCAACTGACACTTGTAGCCAAGTCAGTGTCTGGGTGCCATGGAAACCTCTCTTGAGAGCAGAGACCGAAGCAACAGTGCAGGCCACCCACACTAAGCCCATTGTCCCCTGAGCCAGCCCCTTCATGAGAGGCCCCTTATCAGCCCTTCCTAGGCCTGCAGCTCCCTGGCTCTCTACCTACCAGCTGCACCAGCTTTCCACTCTTGCTGGACCAGCCTGGGGAACCATTGGCGGGGTGGGGGGGGGGGTCCTCACCTGCTTCAGGACCCACCACCCTCCCCGTCCGCCCCACTCCCAGGGAAATCAAAGGCAGCCCAGTAGCGAGGCCAGAGAGCTCAGTTTTCAGTCACCTTGAGCCCTGGGAACAGAGGACACCAGGCAGAGAGAAGCCCCGGAGGCAGTCAGCTCACAGGACCACGGCCGCTTCTCTTTCGAAGTTAAAATCTGTTGTCTGGTTGGCACGGCCTTATGCCCATGCCATCTGCCATGTCTCCTGGCCCAGAGGAGAAGGCCAGGTTCTGGGAAATGGCTCTGGAACTGGCCTTAGGGTCCTAGAATAAACCCATCTGGGCCACCCAGTCCCTGGTTTTGCTGCAGGCCCCACCCATTCTTTTCTCCTCTTCCAAGTCCTGGAAGCTTCCCCGGAAGCCAAGCCGCTCTCCAGTGTCCCCCCTCCCGCAACCTCCCTCTCATGTCTCCTGGAGCCAAGGCCTTGCTGCACAAATCCTGTTGCCAAGTAACATCAGAACACGAAAGGGACCGAAGGGGTAGAGGAATCTGAGCCTGGTGCCCCTCCCCATCCCCATCTCCATTTACAATTTCACAGAGCAGGAGCTGAGGCCCAGGCGGGGAAGGGCTGCCGGAGGTCACAGGCTCAGCCCAGAGCTGGGAGCCTGCCTCTTCACATGGGCTGCTTCACCCTGCTTTGAGCCCAGACTTGATAATCACAGGCCAGGAGTCCCACAGATCCCAGGAGCAGCGACTCACAGGGATTGGAAACCCCCAGCCCAACCCAAAGCAAAGGAGAGGTGCCAACTACTGGAAGGAAGGGCTTGTGATCACAGCGCTGCCTCCCGCAAGCAGTCACCTGCGTGTCCCCAGAGCACTCCCTGTAGAGACACCAGTGTGGCTAACAAGCGCACCTGCCTTGAAGCAAAGCACCCGGAGCCCCTCAGGCTCCCTCAGGGAGGGACTGGTCTGGACAGGTGCCTGAGAGGAGCCTGGGTTTTGGACCCAGAGCTGTGGGGGAGGGCTCCAATCCCAGCTGGGGGATTTGGGACGAGTTATATAACCTCTTTTAGCCTCGGCTTCACCATCTGTAAAAAGCGCAATAGAAATTTCTACACACCTTACTGGGATGTTGTAAGGACTCGACAAGGTGATAACTAGAAAGTATTTAGCAGAACGCTTAGAGAGCCCTCAATAAACAGATCATGTTGATAGATGATAGATCATGTTGCTATTTTTATGACAACCTTTTATCCCCAGAATTCTGGATACCACATGAGGTGCAGGGGGTAAAGAAGTTATAGGGGGAGAAAGGGAGAGAGCTCCTCTCTGCAGCAGGATGCACCCCTTCCCCCCCGCCCCCACTACTGAGGGAGTCCCAGAGGCAGGAAAAGGGCAGAACTGCAGGCAGCATGTGCCCCCAGCAAGGGCCCCCGCCCCTAACATTCCTGTTGGGACTTAACAGGGGGTGGCCAGTTAGTTCCTGGAACGTCCAAGAAAAACAAACTGGTTATTCTGAGTGAAATTGCAGCCTGGCTAAGGCAGGCTCGGTCTGCTTTAAATTAAACACAGCATTTCTGAGATTCTTTTCATCTCCTGGCCACTGTCGGTTAGTGGAGACATTACCTCACCTCACCTTCCTGCTCTGAGGTGGGGAAGCTAACAGGGTGTGCGCCTGGGGATGGGATGAGATGGGCTCTCCGGGGAGCCCGAGAGCCCCACCCTGGGCTCCTAGGGGTGGCCAGAGGTGAGCAGGCCCTCCTCCTCTGACAACTCAGTCTACCTCTGGGGTTAGGGTACTTACTGGGTATTTGGGGATACAGGGTGGAGGGTTGTTCCCATGTGCAGTCAACTCTGTCCTTGGTATTTAGCTAAGGAATTCCAGCTTTTGCAAATACATTGCTCTTCTAGGAGTTCTTGGAAAAAACACAAAACAAAACAAAACAAAACTTGGCTGTAGTTTTACAAATCCAGAGTTGGTCCCTTCCTTGACCCTGTCAAACATTTCTGTGCTGGGTGGCCATGCCTGCCAGCTCCTCAGCAGGACCCCAAAGAGCCTTAGCTAGCAAGCTGAGACAGCAAGTCGTTTCCCCACAGGGGTGACCTGGTCAAGGGTGGGGTTCTCTTCTGGTTTTGGAAATTGCTTTCAGCCAGCTTTGTCAGCTTGTGGAGTCCTAGAAAATTCTGAAGTGTTGGAGCCAGGCCAAGCCAAAAGTGAGTGAGTCCCAGCTTCCTCAGTGAAGATTATCTAATCTTACCGGGACCTTCAATATCCTCATCTTTAAAATGGGGGTGAAGGTGCCCACCTTTCAGGGTTGTTTTGGGGATTAAATGAAATTCGGTGTGCTCAAGGTTCTTTTGTTTCAAATGAAGTATACCCAAAGTTCTTTGGTTGTCAAACTGAAAATTTCCTCATGCTGTCTTACGTAAAAGGGTGATGTTTTGTGTGGAATCAAGGGACTTTCACAAAAACAGGTCACCAGGCCTTTCCAGAGAACTGGAACCAGGAACCTGAAGGGGCATTTGCAGTTTCTCTCCTGCTCTGTCTCCACTGGCCCTGGGTTTCCTGCTTCTTTCCGGACCTGGAGGCCAGCCTCCTGTCCCTGTGGACCAGCTTTCTCTTTCCCGTTTACTCAAAGCCCTGCCTTAGCTTGACATCATTTCCTCATGCTAGGTCCACAGTTGGCGCCATTTTCTAGTGTGTGGCTTTATCCTGTGTATGAAATACTTGCGTGCTGAATGTTCTGTTGGTCTCTCCAGTTCTGCTCCTCTTTCTCTTCCACCGTGCCCTGTCCCTGGGGCCAAGCTGTATAAACTGTGCCGATGGAGCTTCCTCGCCTTCTCAGTTCTGGTCGACCTGAGGCCACAGTGGACGCCAGCAGGAAACAGGAGGGCAGGAGGAAAGAGCGGCAGGGTGTTTATTATTCTAGTTCCTTGCCCGTGGGGGATGGGTGGGCCGTGGTGTGGCTGGTTGTTTCCTGCAGGAAGGCCACAGCAACCCCTTCCTTCATCTACGGCCCTCGTTGGGTTCTTATAATCACTTCCTCTCTTGTGTTTTCAAGCTTCCTGAGCTGATGGCACTGCACAGTTAGGTCCTGGAGGTGCTGCACCATTCCCTTGCCTGATGCCTTCCATCCTGCCCACATCTTTATAAACAGTCCATTCATTATATTCTCTCCAGTAACAGAGCAGTAAGGTAACACTGAAATGCCATCTCTCTCCCGCTGGGACTCATGATACAGTAAGATCAAGGGGGAAAAGATGGCTTTGTCTCCTTGTCCCCACCCCCCACTCTGGCTCCTGCAGAAAACGGCTGAAGAACTAGAAGCTCTTTGAGATAAGCATTATAAATTTGAGGCCCAGAACTGAGAAGACAGCCAGAATTCTGCTAGAAGTAAAAAGGAATGCATGTGCAATGAGAAGCGATACTTCTCTTGCAAGAGACTCTCCATTTTCCTGGGAGGATGGGACCCACATAAAAGTGTTAGTTAGAAATTTGCTGCCAAATCAGTTAGGGCCTCTCTCTTTCCTAGGACACAAACGCCTAAAAGTAAGCTTCACACAGGTTGTGGACACAGCATATTTTTATATTGTCGACTTCTCTGTATTTTTCACTCCCAAATTTGTTGGATTGGTCACGAGAATCTGTCTTTTCCTTTCCTTTTCCAGTTTGGCTTATGCACATCCCACTTTGGGCTTTGACCATGAGGTCTTAGCCTAGGACAGACTTCCCAGTCTCTGGTCTCTCTAGCCTAGTCTGTTCTGCAGCTCACTATCAAATTTCCGGGAAGCTTTCCCTGAAAGAGAGTATTTTATGCATAGACCTGAGAAATGAGCAGAAATCACTCAGGTGAAGAGCTGGGGAAAAGGAAATTACACTGGCCAAGCCTAGAGGTAAGAAAGAGGTTGGAACTACAGGCACAATGAAGTTAGTATGGCCAAAGGAGGGCACGGTGAGGACTATGATATGAATCAGGTCAGAGTGGGAGAGACGTAGAGGTCACATTGTGCAGAGAGCCCACTGTGGACTGCACATAATGGGCAGCAGTGGAGATACAAAGACTCAATTTACCGTGCAATAAATATTCAACAACTTTGCTGGGGAGGAAGGAGCCTCGTACAGAGTGAACCACCTAGGATTCTTCTCATGGAACTAGGGCTGGCCAAAGGGTGGGAGTAGAGACTGGCTACTTCCCAGGGTACTTCAGAGAGCACTGGGCTCAGAGCATAGGCAGAGCCAGGGACACCCTCACCTCTCTGTGACTCCACTCCCGGGGCTCAATGGCCTTTTTGGCTGGACTAGTGGGGCCTCCAGGAAGACAGAGAGGAAGTGGAAAGGCCAGTGCCCTTCAGATGGTTCTCCTGGGAAGGCTTGCCAGAGTCCTGGGAAATGATCACAGGCATTATCCAACCTTGGGAAACTCTGTGGAGGCGAGGCCAGGTTGAGTGCTGAGTCCTGGGCCCCTTGGGTCCTTTTTCTCTCAGCAGTTACTATGTGAGACAGTGTCCACGGCTGAGGAGACAGAACCCCAAGTGAACCAGCGGCAGGAAGTCCTTGCTCTGTTCTCCAGGTTGCAAGCCCCAGAGAGCAGGCTCTTGGTGCCATCTCTGCTGTCCTGTGTAACCCAAACGACCCCTCCCAGGCTGGTCTCCTTCCCTCTGTCCCCTGCTCCCTCCCTCCACTGCAGGCGAACAGGGGGATACCCAGGCACACGGCCCTAGGCCTGCTCACCTGCCCTCCCTGTCCAGCAGACTGGACACGGCCTCCGCTCCTCCCAACACACAGCTGGTCCCAAGCGTCCTGCCACTGATATGGGCCACGAGCTCCTTAAAGCAGGATCACATCTCACACAGGTAGGCACTGCACTGGCTGAGAATGAGTGCCCGGTGGGGGAGGCTACAGCAGGCCCAGAGCAGGAGGGGGGCCGGGGCAGGATGTCCATCTACAGTGCTCTACAAGAGGTTCGGCCACAGGGCACATGGTTGGGTTGGCAGAGACAGACCCAATGGCTAGTCGAGGCAGTGTGGCTGAGCGCGAGAGCAGGGGAAGAAGCGGGCCCAGGTATATACATTTAGACACACACTCGTCTTCATGAGCTGCATTCCAACAGGAGCACTTGAGACATGAGTACATTTCCCCTTTAATCACGACACCTCTCTCCCCATCACACACGCCCACGCCTGCTTGTGACTCCTGCATCACGGCACCAGTTAACGTGTGTCCCATAGGAAGGCAGGCGAGGCCCTCCCTTGCTACCAGGCTGAGTGACCACAGAATCAATTTGCTTCTCAAAGTGACAGCGGCCAGAGGGTGGGGGTGCAGCACTGGGGTGAATGGGGGTGCAGGGGCAGAAGGAAGTGAGAAGGGCAAATGTCTCAGTGGCTCTGGGAGACAGTGTCAGCAAAAGTCACCTGTGATCCTGACAGACATCCGCCGAGGCATCCGTGCAGTCGCTAAGACAATTGCAGCATCTCCAGCCCAGGGTGAGGGGAGAGAAGGGCGAACACCTTAAAGATTTCCAACCACCTGCCCGTTCGGCTTTACCTCACAGCCTCTGTGAAGCTTCAGTGAAACCGTCCATTTGCAATGTGCTTTGAGACCATTACTCACTTGTTGATTCATTCATTGAAAATGTGTCAGGGGCCTGGTATGTGTCAGAGATTGTGCTGGGGCCAAGAGAGAGGCTAGCAAAGATGAGCACATAAAACAAGGGAAGAAAACATATGGTATGTAAGCCACCCCAATATCTCCTGCCAAGTCCAAGGCAGACATCATGAATCAAGCATAGTGTTTTTTTTTTTATCATGGAGTCCAGGAAGGACCTCAAACTTCTTATCAACACCTTTCTCCAGGCAGCCACTCCTAGTTGGATCCTATGGACCAAATGTTTGTGTTCCCCCCTACCCACAAAATTCATATATTAAAGCCCTAACCTCCAAATGTGGTTGTATTTGAAGATGGGCCTCTAACAAAGGAACTGGTGGGACCCTGATCAAATGGGATTAGGTCCTTCCGAGTATGGACCTCAGAGAGCTGGCCCTCTCGTTCCTCAGGCACACACATCATGTAAGCACATGGCAAGGTGGCAGCCACCTACAAGCCAACATAAGAAGTCTCAGAATGAAACCTCCCTTGCCAGCACCTTGATCTTGGACTTCTGGCCTTCAGACTATGAGAAATAAATTGGTATTTAAACCATCCGGTCTGTGGGATTCTGTTAGAGTAGCCAAAGCAGACTAAGACTTTGAATTAACATGAAGGATGAAGTTTGCCGGCCCTGGGGCAAAGGCACGGAGGTGTTAACAGGCATAGCTTGCATCAGAAACAGGGAGCAGCATATGTCCAGGGCCCTGATATTTAGAGAGGGAGTGGACAGAGATGGGATTAGAGAGTAAGGCAGACACTGGATCACGTATGGAGGTGTAGGCCATGTCAGGGCCTTGTGAGTTAGTCTAACAGCACTGGGGAATGCCCTTCAGATCTGTGTTTAGAAAGATCGATCTGACAGCTACAGTCAGGCTTGTGTGGGGCAGGCATGGTGGCGAGGTAGGAGATCAGTGGGTGTCTTCTCCATACATCAATCCTGGGGTGGATGTGCGCCCTGTGAGGGGAATGGCCTGGCTGCAGATAAGAGAAAAAGGTGAGGTGATTTCCTGATTTCTGGCCTGGACAGTGGGATGGATGGTCCTCGCTTTGACAGGAACGTGATCTCCTGTAGGGAGAGCAATTTCTCAGCCTGTACAGACGTTAGGTTCCAAGCCCGGCAGAAGTCCTGAAGCTCAAGTCAGGCCCATTCTATTGGTCAGAGTGAGGCGCCAGCCAGCCCAGATTCCATGTGGCTGGGGACTACATGAATATAGGGAAGCATGAGTCACTGGGACCACTTTGTCATGCAAGTAACAGGCAAGAAGCGAGGGGAAGAGCAAGGCCCAAAGCCAGATAGATGCACTTGTCACTTGAGCCTTTCACCTCTGACGAGTTTCTCTGCAGCCCGGGGAGTGCCTCTGAGCCAGAGATAGAACTGGGTCATGTGACTCCCCTTAGCTTCAAGGAATTCTGGGAACCTGAATATTTTAACGAGCACATTGCAATCTCCTACAAAACCTGATAAGGAAGAAGGGGAGAATGGCACTTGTGGGCGGTAACAGGCAGAATGTTCTGTAGAAGCCTTGGAGGTGTAAGGAGGAAATAATGGCTGCTGAGCCCCTTTATGGCAGAGAAACCACACTCAGCACCTTTGACATGTTACCTCAGAAGAAAATGGAGAATCTGGTTTTGTAGGTCCGGGGCGAGGCCTGAACGTGCATCTCTAAGTGTTCTGGGGATGCTGAGACTGCGGAAGGAAAACCACAGTTTGAGCGGCCCAGAACCGAGGTAACAAGCAACCCCCAAATCTCAGAGGGTTAAATGGCAAAGGCTTGTTCCGTACTCATGCCGCATGTTCACTGTGTTTCTGGGGCTTTGCTGAGCTGGTGACCGGTTTGGAGGGAAAGAAGTCGTGGCATAGCACCACCTGGCTCTTATAGGCATTCCAGTTGAATGGCCATGACCAACATCAGGCGGGGAGAAGCTGTACTGGGAGAATAATACTGAAGATTACCACAGCCTTCACCAAAGCAGTGGGATTTGACCTGATGGGGCTTTGAGGGATGAACAAGGGCTTATCCTATAGAGCAGGTGGGGAGAACATTCCAGACTGAGGGAACACCATAAATAACTACCATTGACTGAACACCTGTTATGTGCCAGCTTTCAGATTGTTTCCTAATTGGCCCTCACAAGAACCTGAGATATTTTTAGTCATTTTTATAAAAGAGGAGACTGAGGGTCCGACATCAGCTAAGTTGCTTGCTGACGGTCACAGGGCCAGAAAACAGGAGTCCAGGAAATCAAACCCAATGTCTGGGACTTTCCCTCCCATGCCACAGTGGACAAGTGGAGGCATGTGGCTGCGTAGGGTGTTTGCAGAATGGTCTGTATGCTGCTGTTTCCCTGGAAATGGTCCCAGCATCTAGAGGATGTTTTCATTTTTAATTTTTTTAATGTTTATTTTTGAGAGAGAGACCGAGTGTGAGCAGGGGAGGGGCAGAGAAAGAGGGGGACAAACAACCCAAAGCAGGCTCCAGGCTCTGAGCTGTCAGCACAAAGTTCACTGCAGGGCTTGAACTCACAAACCTCCAAGACCATGACCTGAGCTGAAGTCGGACGCTTAACCAACTGAACCACCCAGGCACCCCTAGAGGATTTTTAAAAAACTTTTTCTTTTATTTTAGAGAGAGAGAGAGAGAGAGAGAGAGAGAGAAGCCGGGGGAGGGGGTGTGAAGTGAGAGAGAGAATCCCAAGCAGGCTCCATACCCAGTGTAGAGCTCGATGTGGGGCTTGATCCCACGACCCTGGTATCATGAACCTGAGCTGAAATCAAGTGTCAGACACTCAACCAGCTGAACCACCCAGGCACCCCAAGGATTTTGTTTTTGTTTTTCGAGGAGGAGGGATCACAGATTGTAATTTTTATTATGGTAAAATATACATAAAACTTACCATGTTAACCATTTGTAAGTCTACAGTTCAGTGGCATTAAGTACATTCCCATTGTCGTGCAATGACCGCCACTGTCCATCTGCAGAACTTTTTAATCTTGCAAAGTTGAAATTGTGCCCATTGAGCACTAATGTCCATCCTAGCCCCTGGCAACCAACCACCATTCTACTTTGTCTCTATGAATTTGAGGACTCTAAGAACTTGTTCTTGTGTGTACAGCTTATCTCACTTAGCATAGTGCTACACTGTTCACCTTGTGACAGTACTATTGAAACCTTATTCCTCTATATGGCTGAATAATATTCCATTTTATGTAGGTACCCCATTTTTATCCGTTCACCTGCTGATGGATGTTTGGGTTGTTTCCACCTTTTTTCTGGGTATCGTGACAAATGCTGCTATATATATGGGTGTGCAAATATCTCTGAGTCCCTGCTTTTGAATTCTTTTGTGTATGTACCCAGAAGTGGGGGAGTTGGATCCAGAGGAATTTTTAACATAAAGGACTCTATATGGGTCAGAGGTGCTGGCAGGCTTTGTTGGGGTCCAGAGAAAATGCAACACACCAGCACCGTAGAGGATGCCAAGCCTCACCAGGCAACCTCAGCCCACTCACTGCACCCCCACGGGTGGGAGAGCCCCCTACTACCACACCACCCAGGCATAGGAAGGCTGCCTTGTTATTTAACGGTCTTGCAGGCATAGAAGTGATCTTGCCCCCACGTTGGGAGTCGGGATGCTCTGGAGGGAGAACAGCCACTAACCCCTGAGACTCCCTTTCCCTCATCTATCAAACCAAGGCAGTGGTATTCTCTTGCCTACCTTGCAGATTGTCGGGAGGTTCCAACAAACACAAGAACGTGAGAGACAGGGAGGGGCCACAGCCTGCTCTAGACCCACCACCCTTGCCCGGGCTGCCCTCCAGGCTCCACTAGTGCTGGGTCAAACAGGGGCGCTGCAGGAGTGATGTCTGGGAAGGCAGAGGGGCCTCTGGGGCCGTTTCAATAAGGTCAGGAGAGCCCTACGGCTGAGATAGCTAAAAAGAGGACAGCAGAGGCAATACGCTCCCTGGCGACAGTTCCAGGGCAGTGGTTCTCAAACTGGGGCAGGTCGGAGAAGCCCCAGAGGGCTCATTAACACCCGGCGGGGCGGGGGGGGCACCCCCAAGATTCTGATTCAGGAAGTCTAGGGTAGGGTCCAAGAATCTGCATCTCTACAAGTTCTCGGGGATGCTGATACTGTTGGTCTGGGACTGCTCTAGAAAATGGAAGAGAAAAAGCTGCTCATTTGGAGGACCATGGACACATAAGTCCCTCCACCCTTCCCAGCCTCTTCCCTCCCTTTCTTGTTTCCTTCCTTCCTGGTCCAACATTTAATATTAGAGTGCAGAGTCTGGGCTGGGCTGACCAGATGGCTGTTGGCTGCTGAGGGCCCCAGGCTGTGGTGTGACCGGATGTGGAGGAGTCAGAGTGAGTCAGATCGCCAGCAGAGGGAAAATACCGTGTTCCAGGCGAGGGGCCAGGGCGACCTTCCAGGCTCTGTAAGAGCTCAGGGCATTGTGCAAAGCCCAGCCTTCCCCTGGGGTCAGGTGGTCCCCAGGCAGAACACTGGGACAGGCAGCTGCTATAGTGCTGTGCCAGGCCCACGAGCCCGACCCCAAGGTGCTTACCCAGGCTAGGCCTTCAGAGGCAGGACTGGAAAGCAGGCTGGGAAGCCCAGTGAGTAGGGGCAGAAGTCCTGTGGGCATTGGGAGCAGCCAGCCCTCAGCCCTTAGATGGCCAAGCCGTTAAATTTGCCCCTTTGAATGCTCCAAAGTCCATGTGTCCCACCCGTGATCCCTGGTGAACCCTGCAGTCCACCTTCCCATGGGCTCATCCACCAGACTTGTGTGGACCTTTCCCTCCCCTCCCTAACCTGGGTCTCATTTCTCAGGGGCCCCATTTTTATTTTCAGGGAGGTCACTAACCTACCTGATCAATGGAATCTAAGACTTGCCACCCTGTGCCATCAGAACCTGATGAAAATGCCAGGAGGTGCATTGTGCAAAGGCACGGCTCCAAGAAGGACATCAGTCCCGGGAGCTTCATCAGGACTGGATCTGGCTCTGGGGCATCGCTTTCACGTTCTCTAGGTCTACTTCTTCAACCATGAAATGGGGCCAAGGGGACACCCACCGCAGGAAATTAGAGGAGATAACATCACAGAAGTCCTTTGTAACTGGTGCCAGCGAGGTTCCGAGAGTCCTTCTGGTAATGCATACTAGGTCGGGCCCTCACAATGTTTTCTCAAACTCTTCAAAATTTACTTCTACTTTTATTTAGGCCATAGATTGGGGTTCTTAGTTCTTGAAGGTGAGGGAGATGTCCACACCTGTAACAGGGCTGGAGATGCTGTGCAGAAGCCCAGGGCTCTCTGTGCACTGCTCCCGACTTCTGGTAACTTTGTTACTGCTGTCCCTTCAGTACCATGGAGACACGGTCATGGGTGTAAGTCTTCTTGTTAGTCCCCCTTTCAATCTATGTACCTCAGAAGATGCCTCAGCTGCCCGAACTAAAATCTAGGGGTGAGCATGGCCCAGTGTGGCCTGTAGCCAACCTGCTTAACCACAGTGTGGGTTCTGCACTAAACTCTGGGCCTACAGTATCCTGTTGATTTCATTTTGGGGAGAAAGTATTTAATGCAGATGACAAGACTATCTGTATCTAGGCTTGGGGAGGAAAAGGAAGGGCATGGTCAGGATATTTATGTTGGCACATGTCTTCCAGGCCTTCATGCCTAGACTTGCTCAAGTGGAGTCACCTGAGCAGCCAGCGTGAGCTGAGGAGCTCAGCCCTGTTCCGTCATAGGGTTCTGGCCTTTCACCAGGCCTGGGAACAAACCAGAGCTGTGTGGCGTCCTGAACTGAATGGAGCTCCCTGATTACCATCATGGAGTGAGGAGGGTGCGTTGCTTAGAGCTTGGGGTACAGTCCTCACTGAAGGCCTTGACTTCTACGTGGCAACTTCTCACAGAGTTTCATCTAAGAAATACTTGCTGGGCAAGTGTCCCCTCCTCCTGCCCCTGTAGGTGCGCTGCGGGCAGGAACTTCTAAGTTGAATAAGCAGCCTCCCTAATATGCTGGGCTGGGAGGGAGCTGTGGGCCTCTTGCTTTCTGCCTAGAAACATCATGCCTTTTCTGTGCTGAACCACAGGTAGAGCAGAGTGAGGCACCTTTGGCCTCCATTCTATCGTTGCAGACATCTACCATGGCTCCATGACAGCTTTATCTCTCTCTGTCTCTGTCTCTGTCTCTGTCTCTCTCTCTCTCTCTCACACACACACACACACACACACACACACACACACACACACACACACTCCTACTTTTTGAGGGCAGGGATCAGATCTTAAGATCTAAGTAGTGAAACCTGGTATCAGTGATTCACTCCTTGAGAAGTCATGACACAGAAAGTGAATGACTGTGACTTGCACAATATAGGGCTTATTCTAAGTCAGTTGTTCTCAACCTGCTGCACAGAGGACTCTCCTGAAGATCTTTCAATGTGCAGGCCACCCTCTGGGACTCATTAAACCAGAATCTCTTGCAGGGTGCCCCTGGAATCAGTTTTTACAAAGCTTCCCAGGTGTTCTACTCCTGATACTACACTATCTGTTGGCTAACTTGAATTTAAGTAAAATATTGGAAGAAGAAGAAGAAGAAGAAAAAAGCTTCCCACATGGTCTGAATGTGCAGAATTGAGAACCTCTGCTCTAAATGGACCCTGGCAAAAAGGCGTACTTGATGGTGTAGAAATTTAAAATTTTTGACTATAGCTATTCTGGTGGTTGTGATTGAAGAACCCTGTGTAAACAGAGCAGGGGAGAGAAAACTGCCTCAGGGCTGGGAGACCTTGTGGAAGGCCCATCAATTCCATCACCTGAACTGTGTGACCTCAAGCACAAGCGGTGACTGCCTTACCCATCCTGTCCCACTGAGAAGTCTGGAGGACAACTTGTTACCTAACTGGGCCGAAGGACCAGTCTTTTCTATTTCAGGAGTATTTTCTAGACTCGTACAGCCTCCATTTAATCGTAAACTAAAATTTTAAGACTGGCAAGCAATGGAGAAACACTTAAGTGTTAACCTAAGTCTGTGTAGATGCAGACCACCTAAGGGCCCCAACATCAGATCCATTGATTTACAGAGTGCGCGCACACATACACATGCACAGGCAGGGGAGGGGCAGAGGAAGAGGGAGAGAGAGAATCCCAAGCATGCTGCATGCTGAGTGCAGAGCCCTATGCAGGGCTGGATGCCATGACTGTGAGATCATGACCTGAGCCAAAATCAAGAGTTGGACACCTAACATACTGAGCCACCCAGGCGTCCTGCAACATCTGATTAAATCAGTTCACAACAACTACCATATATAACAAAAGAGGAAAGAACAAACATCAACAGGGCTGTGGAGAAGTCTGAACCCTTGTGAGCTGTTGGTGGGAATGTAGAATGGTAGAGATGCTGTGGAAAATAGGACGGCAGCTTCTTAAAACCTTAAAAA